CTTCTCTTTTTCTTTTTATTTTTTTTATTTTTTTTTTTACTTACAGAGATCACTGCTTCATTTCCTGTACCCACTACATCTCCGAGGATGAATACGATTTTCACACATACTTTTTTCAAAGTAAACTTGATTTCTACCTGCCGTAAACGGCATTATTAGTAAGAAGCGACAATAAGATATCGTTCTCATGAGAATCAGCATGGCGCTACTCACCAACATTATACTGGCCTTTCAGGGTCTCGGAATTAATATTCGACTACTCAGCCTCGCCACCGTTGACCGGTAGAGGGGCTGAGGTAACCGCCCGCCTTTATGTATCATTAATCAAATTAATATACCTGGTACTTGAATTATGTTAAAGAGATAATCAAATTGTAGAATTGTAATACGTACGTCCTCTTCGCTTTTTCAGTACTTACAGTAACGCGCGTGTGAGAGCGACAAGTACAACACAACATATGAGCGGACAATACTCGCAACAATATTGTACAATGGATCTGATTGGAATTGCTTTTTCCAGAGACTCTGGAAATAGAACTGTAGGTACATTGACATTAGTGAACTTGTATATTCGTCATTCTCGCGAGTATTTGCCAGAAGTATTTCGCTTTTTTTTTTTTTTTTTTGTTTCTTAACAATTTCTTTCGTGTAATAAATTCTTTTCTACGTGTATATATTTTTGATATAAATTTTCAAATACTACGTTTTATTTATTGCTTTTTTTTCGTATTTTAGACAGTTACTTTCTTAATTAATACCGTGATAATACCTGAGCAAGGTAAAATACAAGGGTGCTTGCTAACTGCCATAAGAGAAGGCTCCCCTATGCACCGAATATGCTAAGTTTTGCAAGTCTTTTGATTTCCCCCAACACGCCACGATCAACTTTGTCAACGGTAAAAAAACTTTCCAAACGCGAAATAAAATATACGTGCTTCTTTTCTTTTTAGTTCTTGAACAAATTAAACTTGGAACATATTTGAAAAAGTAATAAAATAGTATACTAAACGGTGACTCAACAACTTTTCTGCTAGGCGCTTTTGCAAAATACGCAATTATTTTTTATTTTTTTATTTTTTTTTACATGTTAATCTTTATTCTTTTTACAGAAAAATGTGCTAATATACCAGTTATTGCTAAATTACTACTTCGTGTGTTGAGTAAGAAATACATTGCAATTCATTCAAATGATATTGTAAAAATTACTTGTTAATCAATATGAATGTTTAACATAAAAAAAAATTCATAATGTCGCCTTACTGCAAGTAGTTGGGCGGATGTAAAATCGAGAAAAGGAAAACAAACGTTTGAATTTTCAATCTTACTTTTTTTCTTTTTAACAAACACCCTTTAGACCAATTCGCACAAGATGACAAAGAAATGCGCGAAGCAGTACCAATATGATCAGTATTATGCTTGTCGTATGGAAAATCACGTTCTCACTGTAATTGCAGACGTCATTCGTTCGCGATTTCCTGCATATACATTCCACGATTATATGGGGCCATTAGAATAAACGTAGTTTTAATTTCCATGTTCCAGAAAGAAGAAAGAAATGAGATGAATGTGAAAAATTTACTTCAAATAAACACTGATTTCTCATTTCCAATTAATATTTTTGAATTGTAACTTTTTTGTACTATATATATATTTTCTATATAAAAATTTCTATTTGTAATTAAAAGTATTGCAGCAGAGCATGACATGTATATTAACGATATTAATAAAACTGATGAAAAAGTAAGGAAGAGAAATGTTCCAAATTTAGATGTTTAAAAGTTCTCGCATCTCACTTCTTTCATGTTTGAGAAACTGAAAGGCTTCTCCTTATTTATATCATAATTTGCTGCCCCGTGTTGCACTTCAACGCCTATCTGGTGTGAATTGATCGGAATCAATTCTCCGAATGTATCACACAAATGTTATCCTATTGTTTGTATACAAAATTGACTTGCATTGTTCAACTATTTGATATGATATATATAAAATCGATCAGACCAATTGGCACTGATGAAAAATAGTATAACTCCATTACTTATGAACTCTTTGTATGTTTCTTTTCATATTATTTGAAATTACACAAGAATTGTTATAAAAATACATAAAAAGAGACTTGTCAGTGTATGTGAATATTGAATAGAAGATAGCATAGATTTTTAATACATATTATAAAAATAAGAAATGCATCGTTTCTTTAAATAATCTGAAGAAGATAGGCAACCATCCATCATTGAAAAATTTAACAAAAACTATGCTTTAAATTTAACTGTGAACAAACAATTATTTATTATAGTTACACGATCCAAAATATAAGTAAATATTAGATATAAATATAGACATTACATAAGTATTCTGGTCATTCAAACAAAATAAAATGAATGATGCATACAACAAACTCTGTATCAATATGATGAAACTAATATCAGTTTAAAACATCTTGTACATCAGCTTCTTTTTACTTCTAACATCATAAATAAATTACTAATTATATATAACTATATATGCATGTATAGAATACACAATTGCTTACACATTTAGTAAATAAAATATATCAAACTTGTATTTTCATAATATAATGTAATATAAGTAAATATTTATTATTAATTTATATTTTATAATATAAGTAAATGTATAAAAGTTACTATTTTGTACTTGAACATTTTGTAGCAAAATATAAATATTTGTTTAATTATATAAATCTAAAATTTGGTAGTTTTTATATTTTCTTTATTTCTTTAAATTAAATATAATATTAACTAACGATGCCATTATGAAGAGTTTTATATAAAAAGTATATATAATTCCTTAATTTGTATATTCTGCCAATAACGGTGTTTTATATATTAAGTTTTTGTTTCCATAATATTCAAAAGCTTGTTTAAAACTATTACAAACTGTATATATGCAAATTGAATGATATTAATGTGATGTAACTATGTATTACTTTCATCTTACAATATAAAGAAACAAATTAAATGATAAAAAGAAAATGTAGCATCATTTAATCTTCAAACGTTCTTCAAAAACAACTTAACGCATTTGTATAGTTCTCACTAATACGTATAAATTTAAGTTTATAATAAATCAAACAAATTATATGAAAGCAATGTTACTTGTAAGTATTGACAGCATGTTACTATGCAGCATAAACTGAAGAGAAAAGCAAATGAGTTTGACCAAAAGAATGAAAGCAATTGAATCGTGTAACCAGAATAGATTGAAAAGATACTTTAAATGTAACAATGAAAAAAACGAAATGCAACACCGATACGTACTGATGTCTGATTGCTTTCATATCAATGCGAACAAGTATCAAAAAGGGATAATAGAGAAAATGCTCTACTGCAGCGCAAAAGTGCCAATGGTATGTCATCGATATTCAATATGTAATGACTCAAGTAAACTCACCGTTGACGACAGAATCTCGTGTGGGCAGCATGCCAGCAAAAAGCTCTTGCAGACCTTTGGATCGGAGTACTTCACTTGAAATTTGTTATTCTCACCTGAAATTACGTTGCATTTGTTAGTAATCGTATCTCATCAACGGATAAACATACATGCAAATGGTAAAAGAAACAAAAAAAAAGAAAAAAAAATAAAAGAAAAAAAGCGCAAGCCACCATCTTGTGTTTTTCTACGAGATCTCGGGCAATTGTAAATAATAAAAAGTTGCACGAAAGGGCGTCCGAGTTTCATTCGTTGGCCAATAATACGCACCGTTCCGTCCAGTTCCCATCAACTGATCAAGCATAGCTCGCATTTGGTCGTGAGCAGTCATCTTTCGAGAGCGTGTAATATCTCAGGCGTACTGTCAAAAAATGGGGGAGAACGATCAGCCACGCCGCCAGCCTTCGAGTTTCGAGTTATTGTCCAACTCGGTACTTATCGATCAGAATATCGTACTCCACTAATCGTGTGCGCGTGATTCGTACAGGTCGTTCTAGAAAATATATAAAATCTCCGAGAGCGAGTCGATGGCCAATAACGTTTCAGATCTTATATCCACGTTCAAAAGCAACGTTCGATTGGTCCACGTTCTAATAACAATTCCAACAATTTAATTGTCAACTCGACAATACAATAAAGACGAAATAATTCACAGCGTCGTTGGCATTTAATACAAACTTTCTCGAAATTATCGACATTTTCTACTTAATCGGTGCTTTTCGAAATGTTTATTTTCATGCTCTCTTATTTTAAGTTGGCAACACGGCCCGACAAATTTACCGCATTTCTTTCAAAGAAAACGAACGTAGTATGTATTTACAAATACGCGAACAGTACAAATTATAGAAAAAATGTTATAAATTTGAAAAATTCGTTATTTCATATACTTTATATTATATTCTATAAATAAGATACAAGACACCTAGAAAAAAAAGAGGAATAATATACAGCAAATGTAATTAGGCGCGTGTGTGCGGAACTGCGTCGGCGCGAGAGGAACACGTTTCATCGGCCCCCGGAACGATCATCTATGGTGATTGCGAGCCTAGGGAGTTCAATTAGCTATATATTCAGTGCGTTAGTAACCCTACTGCGCGTGTGTAATACGCGCCGGGGGTGGTTAGTCGATGGTTCGGTCTACTGAACGTGAAAAATTGCCATTTCGATCGAGATCCGATTGATATTGTCCGCGCGATTCGTACAAAGAGGGGGCGAGATCGCGTGTCGTTCCCTTTTCATTGATAATTTCACGGGCAAACGCATACAGGATAGACGGCAAGCACGGGAGAACCGATTTGCGGGACTGCAGCGTACGATACGCACGCGGTGTCTAAAAATGGCGAAGGTGTTTCGCGCGGTGACAGTATCGACTTTGTCAAACAATGGACAGTCAACGGCGAAATTTAACAAGCCGGTCACGCTTAATATCAATTACGATCCACAGGGCCTCAGTGTTGAGTTCCTCGCAGGTACTGGTCTGTCGTTAAATAATCGGTTACGAATCGTTAGCGTCGTCCCGATGCGGACAACATAACCACACTCGAACGACCGTTTGCGATCTCTTCCTTTTTTCTAAATTAAAATCTCACGGTAACTGGCACTACCTGTCACGATCGTTTAGATTTTTCCAGATACTTTTCCACTTTGTTACGTAAAATGATCAAAAGAAAATGAAATGTCTATTTTAGTGAGTGTCCATTTAATTCGATACAGTTTGCAACATTGTACGTGTATGTAAATTAAATGTACGTTTACAACGAATGGTAATAAACTTCAATAGTTCTTTGTCAGAATATTTGAAGTACTGTGTTTCCGTTATTACGTGAGGAGAAATGCGTGTTTCATGATCTCTCATTACAATCCTGTTTGTTTAGTGTTTTCAAACTTTACTTCATTGTAATTTAAAAAAAAATTTTTTATATAGGAAAGACGATACTGATAACGAAAATTGCACATGGTCGTAAACTATTTCACTTTTTTTTTTTTCATACTTTCCTTTTCATTTTCCAATAGGCGATTTAATCGGTAGAGATAAAACAACGTTACTGGAATTTCCGGTAACTCCTAGCACAGAATGCTCCAGAGTTTCATCCAGAAGCTACGTATTCACGCTTGACACAGACAGTTTACTTATAACGTTTGCCAATGAAACAGGTAAGCCGATAAACGGTTATAAACGGTACTGCACTGTTTCATTTGATTTTTTACGTTTCCTAATTAACGAATGTTGCATCTTTCTAGATTTTAGAAACTTTCATTCGCAAATATTGAAGTTAAAAAATGGCAAGGGTATTTCCGCATTTAATGAGAGGACTGAAGAGTCGTCGGCTATGCAATATTTTCAATTTTATGGTTACCTGTCTCAGCAACAAAACATGATGCAAGATTACATTAGAACTAGTACATACCAGCGAGCGATTTTAGGGAATTTATCTGACTTTAAGGACAAAGTTGTGCTAGATGTAGGTGCAGGTTCCGGAATATTGTCATTCTTTGCGGTCCAAGCTGGTGCAAAGAAAGTGTACGCGGTAGAAGCAAGTAATATGGCAAATCATGCAGAACTGTTAGTTGCAGCGAATAATTTATCAGATAAGATTATTGTCATAGCTGGTAAAATAGAAGAAATTGATTTGCCAGAAAGAGTTGACTGCATAGTGAGTGAACCTATGGGTTACATGTTGTACAATGAAAGAATGCTCGAGACGTATCTTCACGCGAAAAAGTGGTTAGTCCCAGGTAACTTTTAACTGCTCTCATTCCTCCAGATTGTTTTCAGTAACGATGATAGAAGTGACGAAATAATTGTTCCTCAGGTGGAAGAATGTTCCCTTCTCGAGGTGATCTGCACATCGCACCTTTTTCCGACGAAAACCTTTACATGGAGCAATTTAATAAGGCTAACTTCTGGTATCAAACGTGTTTCCATGGCGTAGATCTCTCAGCGATGCGAAATAACGCTATTAAAGAATACTTTAGGCAGCCAATAGTTGATACCTTTGATATAAGAATTTGTATGGCTAAATCTATCAGACACATTGTAGATTTTCAAACTGCTAATGAGACTGATTTACACAAAATAGGTGAAAATTTGCGTGATTATGCATGATTTTCGCGACCAAGGTAGTCGATGATCAAAGTACTATATGATTTTATATATCCTTTAGAAATCGATGTCGATTTTCACATATTGGAAAGCGGTACTTGTCATGGCCTTGCATTTTGGTTTGACGTTGCATTTATTGGATCAACGCAACAGGTTTGGTTGAGTACAGCTCCCACAGAACCCCTGACTCATTGGTATCAAGTTCGTTGTCTTTTGGAAAATCCTTTGTTTTGTAAAAGTGGTCAATTGTTATCCGGCAAAGTCATTCTTATTGCGAACAAAAGGTGAAATGATATAACTGTGTGTGATATAACGGTCTTAAAAATTTCCATGTTATAACAGCGTGTTCTTTATCGCATGAAATGTGATTTCAGACAATCGTACGACGTAACAATAGAATTGAAACTGGAAGGGACGAATATGGAGAGCAGTAGTAATACTTTAGATTTGAAAAATCCATACTTCAGATACACAGGGGCAGCTGCACAATCTCCACCCGGTTTAAATAATACTTCCCCCAGCGAATCTTACTGGACGACCTTAGACGCACAAGGTGCTAGGCAAGCAGTAAACATGGTTAATGGAATGTCTGTGAATGGTTTAGGAGAGGTTTCTATGGACGCGACTGCGGCAGTGAATCCCAGTAATTTACTTGCAATAGGTAAGAAAATGATAGAGAAATAATGTCACTTTGTTATTGTAAGAACGTGTAGTAATTGTTACTTGCGTATAATTGGTCATCTAGGAGGCCAACCAAATATTCATCCTGGCTCGATTTCGAGTACAGGGCGAGGTAGAGTAGGAGGTACTGCAACGAGTACGCAAGCAGCACAATTAATAGGTGGTGGAATCACTCCAAATATGTTTACATCGCCCGCTACGGTAAGTGTATGCATATATTTCAATTAGTTCACGAGCGAGCTTCCAATTCGTGGTACTAATATGTACTATATATGCACCATACTCGTGTACAGTTTGTATAAACATTTGCACCAAATGATTTGCTCGCTAAAATTCGATTTATAAGTCTAAAGCAAAAGGATACTAAAATTGTTACGCCTGCCTGCGTGTCTTTCGCGCTACAGCTTGGTGTTACTTTCCAGCAATCGCTGGTCCTTGGCAATACTTCGCATTATCCAGTGAATCCCAGCTTGATGATAGGGGATTATGTGACACCTGGTAATGGCATATCATCTCAAACGTATCGGCAATGATCAATGGCGAAATCATTTTGCACTGAGTACTCCCATTCAGCAAAACAATTGAGCGACCGCCATACCGCCAGCAGCAACGGGGACACCAGCAACAACAGTAAACAGAGCCGCAAGTTGGTGTTTAGCTCTCCAGCAAGTAAATTACGACTCTCGTCTGCCGTTCGTATTTTAAACGCGGTTAACCTGGCCAATCTTAACACGAACATTGGCCACGTTAATGGCAGCAGTAACAACTTCGCTTACTTTAATAAAGTTATCATTGGTTCTGGGTTTGGATTCGGATGGAGCGCTAGAAGAAATAAGTCACAGTGGGAAGCACGTTGGAGGAGAGTGCGAACCGTCCTCTCGTAGTTGTCATTAATTTCCAATTTAGTCCTTATTTAATTGAGATCCACTCGAAGATCCGACCGTCTACGTCGAAGAAGTGCATGCTTGCCAAATGTACCCGAGAAAACGATATTTTTTAACGACAATACACTTTTACTGAAGCGTAATGTTCTACGCGGCACACTATTTCCACGGGGGCCCTGATACAACATCATTTCTACGTCGAAATCAAATTTAACGAGCGAGCAACCGGAAGTGATCACAGTTTCAGCAATCCCCCTCACCCCTCCCCCGCCGCCGCCGCCCCCTTCCTCCCTTCGATGTACATTTTTTCAGAAACGTTTCAGTATCAGATTTAACCTAACGATTGAAAACTCTACGGTGTATACAGGCTTGATTGATTTTCGATCTTAAGCGATTTTTACACAACGTTTAAGTATATATAGCGTAATGACGTTCCGAGTAATATTTCGAAGGAAAAAAAAAGAAAAAACAAAAGTGCAAAAAGCAATAACTCGTTAGGGATACGATATGGAGCACTCTGTGGCTTTGCCTGTTATTTATGTCTGATTTTATTTCTGAAGTGGTTGGCATTCAGTAAATCTTTCTTATACAAATACTCCTCTTCATTCAAAGCGTAAAAGAAGAAGAAAAAAAAAGAAGAAAAAAGAGAAAGAAAACCCAAGAAAAAAAAAATAAATTCTACAAAAAATCCGCATAGTTTTACGTCCACCTTGATTTCATTTAACTTCTATTACCGTTATTTTTTTATTTTTTAATACGTAATTATTCCCGTTAATTATTTATAACTTAGAGAGAAAACGAGAGAAACGTAATTGTATATAATTAACTAACGTAAATCGATCGACCCGATGATATAATTTGCTTACTGAAAATCAGGGGAAAGAGGAATATATTCCAAT